TTTGCCGTTAAGCTAATTTCTGATGCCGGTTTTCAACACGAGATTAGTAATGTCAATACGGCTGCACAACAGGTGGACTCTTTTTCCTTTCTTCTTTACTTTCATATATTTCATTATTACGATGAAAGTTATTATTCTGATTTATCCAGTCGCATGTTTCGAACAACCATATTGCTCTCCATCATTCAATGGCATCAGCAGTTGAGCCTTTTTTTCAAATGCACTAATTCAGCTGGAAATCTTCTCACGTGTTCTGATATCGGCAATCGACGCCGTACTAGCAGAGCATCGTCGGGGTCCAATGACAGAAGCGTATGAGAAAGCATTTGCCGAGTTGGTGCGTGTCGTTTGTCACAGTGAACATACGTATTTGTATGCGCAGACATTACTGCATGTTATTAGTGAAGAGGTAATCATTATCCACTGATTATCAGTTGATTTTCGGATTCATCTCGTAATTCATCAGCCTGACAGGTGACATTACCAGAGAGCTCTCATTAGTGATACGTAAAGCAGTGAGTTGAGTATCAGGTGTCTGTAGTGAAATTATAGATTCAAAAAATTATCTTTGGTTTGTAATTACTTGAGCGCTTATAATTATAGGCTTCCACTAATTGATTATTTTTGATTTAAAAAAAAGCAAAATTGTTCTGTTGAAGGAAGAAGGGATGTCGGCAGCAGCCTGTTCGCATATCGCTCAAGCACTACGAATGGTGGCACACGAACGTGAACAAGACACATCTGCGTTGTATGTGGCATTGCTACAGTCAAATGATGAACAGATAGCACCGAATCTGATTCAAGCGATGCACACAATGATGAATAAAAAATGCCTCAATCCCGCCGATATCACTCAGTTATATCAGGTTTTTTTTTGATGAAATCGTTGTTGATTATTTATGATCATTTTACAATTTATTTGTATTTGTTATTCGAAATATGTTCATTTGCTTTGTTATTGTGACCGTTAATCGTTTTCACTTCAGCAGTACGTTTCATCAAATCCTCCACCGATTGAACTGATCCGTGAGCCACTGTTTATCGATATGCTGATCGACTCGTTGTTTGCATACGATGGTGTCAAGGTCCGAATTTCCATTACTTCCATCTTAATTTCATTGAAAACGAACCTTATCGTATTCATTGTGTACATTTCATATTATTATTATTGTATCACTATTATCTTTTTGTATTCTTTTGGAGGAATGGCAACAGAATTAAGTCTTCATTTTTATAGTGTTTCTTTGTTTAGGTGCATACCGATCATCGCCCGAAATATGTTTATTTACTGGCATACGCGGCCTGTGTGGGCGAGAAGAAGAAGAACGGTGTTAGAAGTGTGAGTTATTTTGTTTTTTTGGATTTGTTGTGAGAGTATTGAATTGATTTGGTTGGATTTGCGTTATTATTCGAGTGAGGATTCATTGAAATGTTAGAAATTATTAGAACTTCTTTTGTTGATGTTTATTCTGAATTGAGCCTTTTGCACGTCTTTTTTGGAATACGGTAGTGGTATCTCGCAGATGATGGAATAATTGAAAGAAATACAGCTTTTGAAGGATTAAAAAATTATTGAATTCATTTGGAAGGATGACCAAAACTCTAATTATGTTGAAAAATATTTTAGCAAGCTCGTCAGGAGTTAGACACAACGCGTGATGCAATTGAGAGACTTGTTACTCTATTGGAATCTGCAGATGATCTTCTGAAAGAATTGAATCAACTGTTATTCGGTAACATTCTTATCTCATTTGCTTTTGTGAGCGATGCGATGTTTCGATCATGACGGTACGTTGATACTTCCTGGCTCCATACTAGCACACGACTTTTTTACACTGACCCTGTGTTGGCTCGATCAAGCATAGTGTTTATTTTAAGGTATACGTTTACCAGTCGTAGCAGCTGGTTTACTACATTACTTACGAGGTAACTTGTTGAGTGACGACGTGATCGGTGAGCCAGAACCGGTTCATTTGGTTCTGTTGGACCAGATTGCCACTTCTCATCCGAACTTACATATGAGGTTCGGTTCTGATGATGATATTTTAGCAAGCTCGTCAGGAGTTAGACACAACGCGTGATGCAATTGAGAGACTTGTTACTCTATTGGAATCTGCAGATGATCTTCTGAAAGAATTGAATCAACTGTTATTCGGTAACATTCTTATCTCATTTGCTTTTGTGAGCGATGCGATGTTTCGATCATGACGGTACGTTGATACTTCCTGGCTCCATACTAGCACACGACTTTTTTACACTGACCCTGTGTTGGCTCGATCAAGCATAGTGTTTATTTTAAGGTATACGTTTACCAGTCGTAGCAGCTGGTTTACTACATTACTTACGAGGTAACTTGTTGAGTGACGACGTGATCGGTGAGCCAGAACCGGTTCATTTGGTTCTGTTGGACCAGATTGCCACTTCTCATCCGAACTTACATATGAGGTTCGGTTCTGATGATGATGATGATGATGATGCATAAGGAAATTCATATCAGGAGTTAGACACAACGCGTGATGCAATTGAGAGACTTGTTACTCTATTGGAATCTGCAGATGATCTTCTGAAAGAATTGAATCAACTGTTATTCGGTAACATTCTTATCTCATTTGCTTTTGTGAGCGATGCGATGTTTCGATCATGACGGTACGTTGATACTTCCTGGCTCCATACTAGCACACGACTTTTTTACACTGACCCTGTGTTGGCTCGATCAAGCATAGTGTTTATTTTAAGGTATACGTTTACCAGTCGTAGCAGCTGGTTTACTACATTACTTACGAGGTAACTTGTTGAGTGACGACGTGATCGGTGAGCCAGAACCGGTTCATTTGGTTCTGTTGGACCAGATTGCCACTTCTCATCCGAACTTACATATGAGGTTCGGTTCTGATGATGATGATGATGATGATGCATAAGGAAATTCATATTCCTTCAGAACTAGCTTCAGATGGTTTAAAAAATAAACAGTGTCTTTGATAACTTCGTTTCTTCGGTTATTTCAGTGCCTTATGTAATGGTACAAGTTTGAATGAAAAGGCGAATGAAACTTATGAAATTGTTGACGAGTATGAGAGTGGAACAATAGAGCGCAAGTGTTTCCAGAGTATTTGGCGTACTGTGTGAATTGTACGATCGCCAGTCGTCAATGCAAGAAGCGGCTGAAGTGATAATGGAACGGCAACGAATTGTGATCGATCGATTTGTTCATTTACTGTCTGTTGGTTTAGCACTACCGGTGATCGAAAAAGTTAATCGAATGTTTAGAGATGGTCAGATTGATAGTTCACTTGTCAGGTAGCGGTACACTTTTCCTCCTTATCATTTTTACTTTTACCACTTCTCTCAGCTGATTTTGAGAGTATAATCATTGTTTTCTCTGTTATTTGTTTGTCAGTTTTCCCTCACAATATATTACTCTATGCTGTGAAAATGTACTTAATTCTCATACCATAAACTACCAAGTCGTAAACTGATTTCCAAAATTCCAGATATTTCGCAGTAGAAGTACTGGAAATCGTCGCACCACCGTATTCGCAAGATTTTGTTAACGTTTTCTTACCGATCGTCTCAAATCAAGAAATTTTCGATCAAAACGTTCATGACAAATTGCCGGCAGCCAAGGAATTCATTGAACAATGCACGGCGACAACTTGTTGACAACATGTCGGTTAATGGATAATAATGTGATCTATGTGCCGACTGAGCTGCGAAGTGATCTCGGATAATCAAAAGGTGTACAATTGTCGATAAAATGTAAATAGATGTACTGACTAATCCTCCGTTAACGAATCGAATTTCTTCATTGCTAATCCATCTCTATTGTTATTTTTTATAATTTGTGTGGGTTCGTACAGGTGTAATATAATCTGTTGTTTCTTCTCGTACGCTTCGCCATTTTGTTTCATTCGAAGCGGGATTGATTCCAACTTAATTACTGTGGTTGACCCAGATCTTATATGTTTTCATCGAACGATTATGATAATAAATGTTTTCATTGCCATTATGCTGAGAATAAGTCTCTGTGTTGACCAACTCTGCAGGCAGAAACTTAGTTGCGTACTGTTGCGCATCCAGCAAGACAAATTCGTTCTGCCGCAACACTTCTGGAATATAATT